CAGGAACCGGAATGCCAGACCCTAGATAACCACCCTCAGGAGTAAGCAAGGGAAAGCAAGTGCCTCCACCCCACTGCCTCCAGGGCCCCCACACCCAGCAGTACACCCGCCTTGCTGACGAGGAAGCCACACCTAACAGGGGAGAACGTGGCTCAGGTTCACACAGTTCCCAAATCCACAAAGCAGAACCCAGACATGGGCACCACAACACTCGTCCAATCCCTGAACTCCCCGGCTGACAACAGCCCCCTAAGAAGAGCTGAGAAGCCATCCCCAACAACCCCTAATCCACTGGCCTTCACCCTATGCACATCTCTCAGCTCCTAGGATCCAGAGGTAGAATATACTCCATGCTTAAAGGCCAGCTTCTCTCCCAGCAGCTGGTCCTCACTTAGCCCAGGAGGAGATGTCTCAACTGTCAGCTGGGGGGAGGACGAAGGGTGCTTGGCCCAACCTTGGGACACGAGGGATAAGGGGACTGACTGTCCTGTTTCCCACAGTCCCCAACATGCCCGGAGCTGGTTTATCCAACACTGGTCCCTGTAACTATCCCCTCCAACAGGGAAGATGCCAAGTTTTGAGAATCCCCCTTATAACAAAATATGTTGGCAAGAGGCTTTAACGATTCAGATCTTGGCTCCGCTCCCTCACCGGTGACCCTGAGCAGGTCTCACTCTCCTTGTTTCTCCCCATGGAAATGTTGTGAGAATCAACTAGGAACCACAGAACTCTATAAACCTTAAGGTGCTACCCAAACAGGAGAGATGGTTAAAGGGCCAGGAAGGGACCAGCTGCACGGGGGGAGACTACACAGATCAAAGCCAAAAAGATGCCTTGTTTGTAACAGCAAAGGTCTGGAAGCTTCCTAAATGAAGAATGAAGTGAATAAATACATTGTAGCAAGTTTACACCAACGAATATTACACTGCAGTGAAAATGCATGAACTAGAGCTAGAGATAAAAACATGGCTGAATCTCACAAATACGAAGCAAAGCGAGAAGACTGCATAAGAATACTGACAGTATGATAGCATCTAAACAGCATTTTAAAACATACAAAGCAATACTACATGTTGTTTAAGGATGCCTGCATTTATAATAAAACTATAAAGAAATGCAAAAGAATAATAAATGCTATATTCCAAACACTTGTTACTTCTGGAGGGGAGGAAGTGATCAGGGAGAAATTTCAGGTGTCTTAAACCAGATGTGGGGGTGCCCAGGTGTCTGTGTGTTACCCTCAATATCTGAACGATTCTCTAATATTTGGTGAAGGTCCATGTTGCCTTCTTTTTCCAGAGGTTGGGATCAGCCAGGGATGGCACATGCAGAGGCAGAAGAGGGCAGGGAGGAAGCACTGACAATGCTGTGTGAAGGCAAAGGCAGGCCCGTCAGCGGTCTGAGGGCCAGTGGAAAGCAGAGCAAGCACCCTCGAGAGAGGGTAGAGACCAAACCAAAGGCCCCTGACTCATAGGGCACCCCCATGCCACCCTAAAAATACCAGCCCTGACCCCTGAGCATGACGCTTTGGTGACACAACACCCACAGCACCCCACACACATAAACACACACACAGATACACACGCACGCACCCACATATCTGCCTCGGACACCCAGTCTGCTCTCAGGCTTGTCCACTTCGTAAGTGCTCAAAGACACAGAGCTCCTGCCTCTCAAGGAACAGCCTCATGGTGAGGTCCTTGGAGGGGGACAGCCCTCAGACAGAGCCAGCTTCTCAGGCCAGTCATAAACTCCTATCCAAAGAGTGACTGTCCTGGGTCAGTCATTGAGAAAAACATCAGAACTTCCTGCAACTGGCTATGGTGGCTGCCAAGGCCTGACTCTAGGGGTTGGGGCGCTAGCGCCCCCGCAGAGCAAGGGGAGTTGCTCCCTGCTTCCCTGTGCCTTCCCTCTGGCAACTCTCTGAGGGCCCCTAGCTACCGTCCCTGCAAAGTGGTTCATGGTCAGGAGGGGCAGACTCTGCAGCGAGATGCCTCAGGGAGACGGGGTGCAGCAGCAGCAGTGAGAAGCCAGGAGGGTGGGAACAGAAAGGCCTGGCCCAGAGGGAAGAGCTTGGGAACCGCTGGAGCCAAAGAGAGGGCAGGCAGTCACTGAGTTACAGAGGCATGAGAGCCGGAAGAGAATGCCCTAAGATGCCAGCCAGTGCAACTCCTTCATCTTCCAGCTTAAGAACCAAAGCTGGTGAAGGCATGAGACTTGCCCAAGGTCCCACGAATAGCAGTGACACAGGGGATGCAAACCCGGGTCTTCTGAAGGCCAGTGTGCACTCTCTTCACCACCACACCACTGTCCCTCAAAGCAGTCTTGAGGAGAATAGACATGTATGAGCTGAGGGAAAAACAATGAAGTAAGAAAAGAGGGACCCTCTGACTCTGGGGGGCACGGAGGGCAACCAGAGGCTGAACGATCACTTGCCGGGGGGCTAGGTGCCGTTGAGGGAATTGAGGCCAGATGTACCCTGAGGCCCTCCCTCATATGAGCTTCCACTATTCCAAACAAGGACGGAGAGATGTTTGCGACAAAGCAAAAGATGACCAATACAGAGAAGATGCAGCACTGGGGAGTGGTAGAAGGTTGAAGGCAAGTTCTCCAGAAACAAAGAAAGTCAGGTCATCCGAACCATCTCCTACTGAACACCCTTTGCTATCCTCATTAGTATTATCACTAATAATAGCAGCAGCTGGCACTTACTGAGCGCCTACACCATGCCAGCCCTGTGCTCAGTACTTGATGCTCACTGTCTCATTATTTGCATCAATGTAGAAGGTGGCACTGACATTACATCGAGCTTACAGCTGAGGAAGCAGAGGCCTGGAGAGCGGCAGAGGCAGCACCCACCCAGGTCTGCCCAACGCCAATGCACCATACCAGTGGTTTTCAAAGAAGCAACCTCCAGACTAGCAGCATCAGCATCACCTCGAAGCCCTGGGGGCACAGCCCATCAAGCTGTGTTTAACAAGGCCCCCCAGGTGACTGTGATGCATGCTCAAGCTTGAGACCAAGGCTCTAATGATTTCCCACTGCTGTCAACAGGGAAACACTGCTATTCAAAACCTTTTGGAAGGGTTCTGGACAGAGCTGGAGAAGGATATAGGACAAAATTCTAACAAAAAAAAAAGACCAGATTTTACTGGCCTGAAAGTGACTGGAGAAATCCTGAGAGTATGGCCCCCAGACACCCTTTTAGTTCAGTAGTGAAGTCACTTCCAAGGTTCACCGTTCAGCCGGGGATTGGACAGCCCCATAAAACAAAATGGGACTAATGCAGCACAGCAGTCCAGGGACAAGGACTAGAAGGCAGAAGTGGACAGGAAAGCTGGTGATAGGGAACCCAAGGTTGAGTAAGGATAGTGTTGACATGTAGTGTGGTTGTTAACCATTGTCATAGGGCAACATGTGTACTAACTGTTTAATGAGAAACTATTTTGTTCTGTAAACCTTCATCTAAAGTGAGAATAGGAGCACAACTGGAAGAACGTAATCAATGTCACCGAACTGTGCACGTAGAGATTTTTGAAATGGTGTATCTTTGGCTATGTATATTTTCACCAAAAAAAAAAGGTTGAGAAGGGAGTGGGTTGACATGCCATGGGGTTGTTAACCAATGTCATAAAACAATATGGGTACTGACTGTTTAATGAGAAACTGTTTGTTCTGTAAACCTTCACCTAAAGTAAAATAAAAACAAAAAAAAACAAAAAACCTTTTAGAGTCTTTCCAGCCCAGCTGATCAGCTTCCCCAGTCCAACAGAGCCTCACCCCAAATCCTCTGCCCAGTCTACTAAATTCCAGAAGACTTGCAGGCTCTGCTCAACGTCTCATCTTTCTAGGGCCTGGCCTTGAAGTCGCCCCTCCAGAAGTTCTCACCACCACCATCACCTGGTGCCTCCCAATCGCTCTGCCCTCCTGCCACAGTTACTGCTGGGCAGACTCATCTGGCACCTGCTGGGCATCAAGGCCTTTTAGGTAGAGCTCACAGCACATTTCTCCATGTCTGACGGCAAGTTCCTGGAGGGCATAGCCAGTTCCCTCTGCACCTATGTACCTTCTGCACAAGAAGCCATCAGGAAAAACCATGCCGGGGAGAGACAGCAGGCTCTGGTTCTCATGCTGACTCTCACAACACCCTGGGACAATCGCTTCCCATCCCTAGGCCTCAGTTTCCTCATCTGTTAGATGCACCATTATTCTAGCTTCTTCTATTTGGCTCATTCACTCAACAAACCCTGGACCTTACTCCAGACCCTCATCTCCATTATTATGGGTACACACATGAGGACTAAAGAGGTCCCTGCTCTCATCCTTATATTCTAGGAAAAGACAATCAACAAACGCACACTGATAACCATGTGCCAGATCCTAAATTCTTTACATATATTTTGTCATTCAAAAATAAGCAAAATTATTTCAGAGCATGATAAATACTATGCAAAAAAATGAAACAGTAATGTGACAGAAAGTGAAAAAAGGGGCTACTTTGCATAGGAGGGCCAGGGAAGGCCCCTCTGAAGAGGTGACATTTGAGCTGAGACTTGAGAGATAAGGAGGAACCAGACATGGGGAAAAGTGGTCAGAAGGAACAGCAGACACAAAGGCTGTGAGGCTAGAACAAGCTTGGAATGCTGGGGGGTGGGGGAAGCAGGGGGCGTGGCTAAATCACAGTGAGCCCAGGAGTAAAACTGGTAACCAGTGGGTCGGAGAGGGAGGCAGACAACCTCCTACAATTCTGTGGTGCTCAGATCAGGCCGGCCCTACCCAACCCAGGACAACCAGGCCCCATGTCACAGGCAGCACTGAGGGTAATGGCACGAGTCTGACCCCATGGCTTCCTGGGGACCCAAGGGACTGGTGTGGGCATCTAAGGGCAGGCACCAACCCTCAGCATGAGTGCCACGCCATACCCATGGGACACCCAGAGAATGGTCACTAGGGTGGGGGAAAACATGACGACAGATGTATGTACAACACAAGACACTCACAGTTGCAGCTTCCAGAGGGGCATGATCAAGTGCTCCTATGAAGTGTCAGTCCCCAATCACATTCATTTCCCCAGGACACAGCCAGGACAGCAGACTTGGTCAGCAGACAGGGCACAGGCCCCAAGGTTCAAGCCTTACTGGTTTGGGGCAAATCTTAACCTCTTTGGGACTCAGTTTTCTCATCTGAAAATTAGAATTACTCATAGTGCTTACCTCCTAGGGTCGCTGGAAAGATTAAATGAGATACTAAATATAAAGCACCATGGTTACCCGTTGCCGTCGATTCTGACTCATAGCGACCCTTGTAGGACAGTAGAACTGCCCCATAGGATTTCCAAGGCTTTACGGAAACAGACTGCCACATCTTTCTCCCCAAGGGCGGCTGGTGGGTTGGAACCGCCAACCTTTCGGTTAGCAGCTGAGTGCTTAACCACTGCGCCACCAGGGCACCTTAAGCACCATGGTAAGTGTTCATAAATGTAAGCTGTTATTTTGCTCATTATTGATTTTTTCACTGCCTCAGTTTTCTGTAAAATATAGATATTAATACAACATCACAGAGTTGCTATGAGTTTGTAGTAACAAATACTACTCCCTCCTAACGTAACATTCATTGTCAGGGGTAAAAAAAAAATGTTGAGAGTCCCTTTTTCTGACATCTCATCAGATGCTGAATTCCCCTCTACCACTTGTATTGACACAGTGGCTGCAACAACAGGCTGAAACATAGCGACAACTGTGAGGATGGCACAGGAGCCGGCAGTGTTTCATTCTGTTGCACATAGGGTCGCTGAGTCAGAAGCAACTCGACAGCACCTAACACCACCACCACCACCCACTGTCTGGAAAATGAGTAAGCGCTGATTAAATCCCATTTTGATGATACCGTGAAATAAAAGTGATGCATTAGGAACAGGGCTTCCAATTGGTTCACTCTGGTTTGACCCCCTGCTGAGAATCTGCATTTCCACCCCAGCTATACTGAATCAGAATCTCCATTTTAGCAAGATCCCCAGGTGATTCTTACGTGAGAATTTGCATTTCCACCCCAGAATCTGAATCAGAATCTACATTTTAACAAGATTCTGAATCTGGGGTGGATCACCTGAGGGTCTTATTAAAATGTAGATTCTGATTCAGACTCGGGTGGAAATGCAAATTCTCACGTAAGAATCAGCTGGGGATCTTGCTAAAATGGAGATTCTGATTCAGTATAGCTGGGGTGGAAATGCAGATTCTCTGCTGGAGGTCCAACCAGAATGAACAGGTTGAAGACCTGGTTAGTATTCCAGAGACTTCCTTGCACTGTCATTCTGCAAGGGGGGCAGGGATGAACGCTGCTAATTCTTCTGCATCGTCCACAAAAGCCCCCACCCCCACCCAATACACACTCTCTCACCCAGCTGCACAAAATTCCCATCCACTCCCACTTAATGTATAAAGCAATCACTCTGTCACACACACACAACCCCACCCCTGAAATCGATCCCAGAAGTTCACTACATCTTCCCTGCACAAACACACAAATTTCTTCTCCAACAGTGTGCAAAATATGTTCAATAGAAACAGAATAGCAGGGGCGCTGGAGCCAAACGCTTGAGTTCAAATCCTCACTAGCTGTGTGATCCCCATCTCCAAGCGCCTTGGTTTTCTCAACTGTAAAATACGGATAATTATTAACAATAATAGTCTGTTTTTACGATTGATGTGACAAATGAGCTTAATATGTGAAAAGCGTTTAAATCAGCAGTGGGAAAGCGCCCAATAAGTTATTATTTCTCTCATCATTACATGTGTACACTGCTTCCAAACGCCGTGTAGACGAGGGTCCCACACTGTAAACAGACACACACGCCCACAGCGCTCGTCGTCCCTGCCAGTCCGCACGCCGCACACGCCACCCCCACGCGGTTCCCAGACGAGCTTGCCCACTCAGTGCGCACGCGCGCCCCCCACCACCTCCCGCGGGGCAGGGATCCTCGGTGCGGCCCGGGCCCAGAGAGACAACCGCCCAACAGGCCCGCGCGCCGGAGCCACCAGGGCCCAGGACACCTTCACCAGGCCTGACCTCCCCACTCCACGCCCGGCCACTGCCAAGGCTCTGAATGGCCCTGGTCCCGGTCTCCTCCTCCCTCCCCGCTCCGGCCAGGCCGCCTTACCAGAGGGTGGTGGAGGTGGGAGAGCTCGGGAGAAGAGCCGCCCGGGGCAAACTCCGGGGCCGCGGCACCTCTCGCGCTCCCGCTCGGGGGAGGGAGATGGGCCGGTGAACGAGGAAGTACTGGGGGCCGGGCCGCCCCACCCCTGGGAAAGTCCCCCGGCGATTGACAGGCAGCGCGCCCAATCACGCCGCACCCTCCGGGCGGGCCCGCAGCCGCCGGGATGGGACGGAGCCGGGTAAACAGCGGCCGCCAGAGGTTGTAGGGGGACCTGAGAGCCGGCCTGGTGGCCGCCAGGTTACCCCACTCCGCAGCCCAGCCCCTCGGCGTTTACCTCGGGCAGCGACTTCCCCAGCCCTGTCGCCAGCCGCCGGGCCGGGGCAGCCCCTCGCGACTCTCCCCGCGCCGGAAATCCCATGCCCCTGGGGTCAACTTGAAACCATGATTTTCCGAGCCGGAGACGACCACCCAACCCCTTCCTGTTTCTAGGGGGATACTGGCCAGAGAGGGCAGGGGACTTGCCAAAAGGCACGTAAGCATTTGAGCTAAACCAGAGCTAGAGCTCAGGTCCCCAGGGTCCTTTCCAGGACTCTCCTGGATTCTTTTTAGCAGGGCCCAAAGAAATTCCGAGCTGAAAGAACACTTAATGAATCATATTACTGTTAAAATCGGTTCCACGTAATTGAGTCCAACTCTTGGTGACCCCGTGTGTGTCAGAGTAGAACCATAGGGTTTTTGATGACTGATTTTTTTAGAAGTAGATCGCCAGGCCTTTCTTCCAAGGTACCTCTGAGTAGAGTGGAACTACCAACCTTTTGGTCAGCAGCCAAGGTTAGCAGTCCAGCGTGTTTACCATCTACACCACCCAGACTCCTTATTGCTGTTGTTACTAGGTGCTGTGGAGTCGGTCCCGCCTCATAGCGACCCTATGTACGACCGAAGGAAACACTGTCTGGTCCTGCGCGATCCTCACAAGCGTTGCTCTGTTTGAGCCCATTGTTGCAGCCACTGTGTCATTCCATCTCATTGCTGTTACTGCTAACATTTTTTGCAAACATACTGCTCTGGACATAAGTGCTTTGTATTCATTGCCTTATTTAATTCACACAGCTCCCCTAGTGAGGTGAGTTTTATCTCCTTTGTTAGGATAAATAAATTAATATAGGAGGCACAGAGAGGTTAGATGACCTCAGTAAGTGACTGTGCCAAGATTCAAACCCAGTGGGGAAATCCAGAGCCTGCCGCCTACCCCTACCTATAGTATTTGTGGGCTAGAAGATCCCAATAGGCTATGGGAATTCACAGACAGGCAAGGAGCAGTAACTTGCTTTAAGGTTGGAAACACTTTTTCTTTTTTTAGCCCATCATTTTATTTAAAAAAAGGACAAGTTTTAATTCTGAAATTGGAAGGGCATACATAACCTTGGAATAAAGGACAGCTCTATAAACTAGGTAAATTTAGCTTTATGAAAAACCTATTGCAAAAGACTCATCTCATTGGAACTGTTGAAAACTTAGTCATTGACAGGCCCTCATCCTCAGAGGATCTGGGGAACTATTTCATACACACCCTCATTTTACAGAAGGAGAGACCTGATAATCAACTGGACTATGATCACACACACACATACACATATACCTACCTATTCAAGTGTGTGCCTAAACCAGGGATTTTCCTGGGTGGTGCAAATGATTAACGCTTAGCTGCTAACTGAAAGGTTGGAGGTTTGAGTCTACCCAAAGGTGCCTCTGAAGAAAGTCCTGGGGATCTACTTGTGAAAAACCAGCCATTGAAACCCCTACTGAGCACAGTTCTACTCTGACACACAGGGGGTGGCCCTGAGTCAGAACGGGCTCAACAGCAGCGGGTTTAGAGTGCCTTAATTTCTTCAAAGTTTTGTCAGATTCTCAAAACAATATTAATCCTAGTTCACTGTAATTATGAAAATAAGTACATCTATACTTTGCATTCTGAAGGGAGGAAGAGAGGGAGGAATGCAAACACCAAACAAAGCGCCACTGAGCGTCAGTCAGCAGAGGGGGGAGGGGGGAGGAAGTTTGGGAATCTTGGACCGGGTTCACACAGCTGCTCTCGGGTATCACCTCCAGCCATGAGAGCCCAAATGCTGCTTTTCTTCCTGCTCTTTGCCTCTGCGTCCTCATTTGCCTTTTCCCGGGATGGTTTCTTCCTAATTACAACCCAAGTCTTTTCCACCCCCACCCCCTGCCCACCAACACTGAAATTTGCTTTAAAAATGAAGGGTCTCCAATTATTTGCATTTTGTCTTCAAACTAGTTCAACTATTTTGGTAAAATGTCTGACCCTAGAGGACTGGGCAAATAGTTTCATTCCTCAACATGTCCGATGACTCCTAGGTGGGCTCGTTAGACAGTGTTCTAGCGTAACATAAAAACATGACACAGTCTTCTTTTTGCCTCATTTCCTAACTTGGGTAATTTTTCTTAATAGTTGCCAGTTGTGTGAAAATCGCTCTCTTCAGAGTCAGGAGCACCCCTATCCCTTCCATCCTTTTAAGTCTTGCTATGGTTCCAGAACATTCCACCATGTTAGAGACTATAGAGACCACTGATCACAATCCCCTGTTTGACAGACAGGTAAACTGAGGTCTTAATGTAGAAAAAGACTTGCCCAAGGCCACATACATTGCATAACACAACTAGGATCGGAACCCAGGACCTTGGTTCCCAGTCCTGTAGCTCTTTCCACTGCACTGTGTTGTCTTTACATTGTCACGATTTTTCTCACCTTCTTACAGAAACTCAGCACCTTCAGTCATTACCAGCACTAACTGGGTTCCAATCCCTGCTCAACCACTTATTACCTAGGAGGCCTCTCTAAGCCTCAGGTTCCTCTCTGAAAAATGGGAATAACAATTGTACCTGACCCTCAGGTGATCATGAGGATAAATGAGATAATACAAGCGAAGTTCAAGGCTTGGCACACAGTAGACACAGGAGAAATGACACTTAGTGGTACACAGACCTGGGTTGCATGCACTGGGTAGGACTTCACTGTTAAACCCAGAAGGCAACCTCACCAGGTTCCACCCCCCAGCATCCCCATCCCTTGTGGGACCCTAGACTCAAAGTCCCAGGGGCAGGGGTGGGAGATAGGCCCTTAACCTGGCACCCCCGCCACCCCAGGCCTGGCAG